CCAGGTCCTCTCAAGGATCCCCCCAATAATTCCCCCCCAAAATCCCCTCAGGGACCTCCCACAGAATTCCCCCAAAATCCCTTCTAGGACTCTCCAAAAGCCCCCACAAAATTCCCTCAGGGAAGCCCCAGAATTTCCCAAAATTCACATATGGGATGTCCCAAAATCCCCCCCCAAATCCTATCTTGGACCCCCAAATTCTTCCAAAATCGCCCCAGACCCCCCCAAATCCCCTCAGACCCCCCCAAAATCCATAAAATCCCATGTGCCCCTTTAGGCCCCGCCCCTTCAGGCTCCGCCCCCACCTGTCAGCAGCCCCAGGTAGCAGTAGCTGTAGCACAGGATGTCAATCAAACTCGGCACGTGCCGCAGGGAGCCAATCATCAGCCGCGTCTCCTCTGACGTCACCTGTTTTAGCCCCGCCTCCCGCAGCTCCTGCGTGTCACTGGCCATGCTGACCATCTGGGGGGCGGGGTTATGTCAGGCCACGCCCCCTTTTCCATATATGGGTGCGGAACAGCTGAAGCCACGCCTCTTGCTGGCCCGCCAGTGTCCCGCCAATTGCCCTTAACGAGCCCCAAAAAATCTCCCCAAAATCACCCTGAACACCCCAAAATCACCCCTGAGCCCCCCTGAGACACCTTACAACAACTCAAACCCCTCAAATCCCCCCAGGACCCCCCAAAATCACCCCAAGACTCCCCGAAATCACCCCAAAATCACCCCTGGAACTTCCCTCCCCAAAATTCACTCCCAGATCTCTCCAGATTTCCCCAAAATCCCCCCCCAGATCTCCTCAAATCCCCCCCAGGACCCCCCCAAAACCCTCCAGGACCCCCCCAGGACCCCCCCTACCTTGAGGGTGATGAGGAGCTGCAGGGCATTGGCGTAGGGGGGGGGCTCGGGCAGCCCCCAGACCCAGGGGGTGCGGAAGAACAGCAGGTACCCAAAGGCCCAGGCCAGGCTGGCACCCCCAGAGTACCTGGAGAGGGGTCCCCAATAAATTTGGGACACCCCAAAAACCTCCCCTGACCTTTAAACCCATCCCCGCCCACCCGAAATCCCGTTACTGAGAATTTGGGGTGTCCCCAAATGTCCTGGACTCCCCCAAATTCCCCTCCCCCAAAATTTTTGGGGTGTCCCACTGAGAATTTGGCCCCTCCCATCCCAAAACCCTTTCTCTTAATTAAGCAATAACGAGCTCCGGTGTTGCAATCAGGCCCAAAACTCAGATGGGGGGAGGGGAAAAAAGCTTGGGACGCCCCCAAAATAGAACTGGGATCCTTCAGATGGAGCTGGGGACCCCCAAAATGGGTCAGAGATCCCACAAAATGGAGCTAGGACCCCCCAAAATGGCTCAGGGCCTCCCCAGATGCAGCTGGGACCCCCCAGAATGGGTCAGGGACCCCCCCCGAAAAGATTTCAGGACCCCCCGAACTCACCTGGGCAGGAAGGTGAGGATGGCCCAGGTGCCCAGCACGGTGCCCAGCGAGTGCAGGGTGTGGGGGCCGCAGGTGAGCAACGCCAGCCCCGCCCCCACCGCGGCCCCCCCAAACTGGCGCCAGCGCGGGCCTGGGGGGGGGGGGGGGGGGGGGGGGGGGGCAGCAGGGCGGGGAGGGGTAAGACCCCAAGTTACCCCGGGGACACCCCAAAAATATCCTGGGATACCCCAAAAATATCCTGGAACGCCCCAAAAATATCCTAGGATACCCCAAAAATATCCTAGGACATTCGAAAAATCACCTAGAATACCCCCAAAATAACCGAGGATATCCCAAAAATAGTCTGGAACACCCCAGAAATATCCAGGAATGCCCCGAAAATCAGCTA